AGCCCCACGACCTACGCCTCGCGAGGTGTTTTTTTGTGCCCTAACTGCTGCTTGGGGAACGGAAGGCTTCGGTTTGAGGTGGTTGCCCCGAAATCCTTAAAGACCCAAAGCCCTGCACCCTCAACCCAAGCATCAGTGGGTTTATATAAGTTTTTTCGGGTTTAGGCTTGAGGGCTTAGCCCCGTAAGCTCCTGCACCCTGAAGTAAGGACTGGCTACAGCAGCGTGCCGCATCCACAGGTTGGCCAAAGGGGTCAAACTTGGCTTATGGTTTGTGTTCACGCATGAGACTGCACATAAACAAGGGGTCGGAACGACTATGAACAGTACTTGTGGGGGGTCTCTGTATAACAATAATATAAAATATGCCCGAAAACCTTGTTCAAAGCGTGAAGGTTAATTTGTTGATGTGCCGCTGTACAGTTTCCTAAGGTTGGCCTTCAGCAGTTCTGTGTACAGCTTAGCCTTTATTTATCTTGCAGGGTCAGAGATGGTTGCGGTGGGAGTCAGAATTTCTTTTCCGGTGGGGTTCCTTGATATAGATTTAATGCAAAAGCCACCAAAACGAGAGGCTATTTATGCAGGCCTCTATATTCTTCGGCTTGGAGTCTTCAACAACTGCTGTGGCATGTGAGTTTAGAGGTTCGTGGAGGAGTTCTGCTTCATGGGAGTCTTAACACTACTAGGGATCATGAGATATGCGAGTCGAAACAAGATGATAGTGAGAATTGTAATGATAATGATACTCATAGTATGCTAACACGAATTATAATAATAATACTGACAAGAATACTACTGGGGATAATGCCAAAGTAGTAGCAGAATATGAGAATAATGCAAGGTTAGTACAAGAACAATGCCAATGTAAGATTGACACAGGAAAAACAGTATACGAATAATCTAAGCATCATGCACGAAATACGAAAGGACTAGTACAAGCATGAGAGCAGCATAAACAAGCATGACAAGCTTCCGCAGCATGATCTTGTTCTTCTTTTTCATCGTCAATATCTTCCCTAAACCCTACACTACCTAAACCCTGAACTCCCTAAACCCTGAAACCTCCAAACCCTAATCCCTTAACTCCCTAACCCCCTAAAATCCCCCAAACCCCAGAGCACCCAAACCCTATAAACCCTGGGGTTAGGGTTGTGGTTTAGGGGTTTAGGGTTTCGGGTTTAGGGTTTAGCGTTTAGGGTTTATGGCCGAAGCCATTGGGCCTTGATAGAAGGGATCTCTTGGCAGGTTGCCTCCTTCGAGCAGCCGCTGCTGCGCCCCAGAGGCGGGTCATAGGTAGTGTTCCTTGGGGGGGGGGCTTCGGGTGTAGGGTTTTGCAAATAGGGGAGGAAGAAGGGTTTAAGGGCTTCGTTTAGGCTGGCTAGGATTTTTTTTGTTGGGTTTCGGGGCTTGCGGGGTCTAGGGTCCAAGGTTTGACAAGGGTTTGAGGACGGTTTTGTGGGCTATACGGTTGCACAGGGCTTGGGCACATACGAGCTTTTATGGTTTACGACCCTGAATCCTAGACCCTAAACCTCCTAAAAGCCAACAGCCATGCGGCATAAGCCCCCCAAAGCCGCAAATGCCCTATAGTAACCGACGTACCCCTTACAGCAACTCTTATAAAGACCTGTTTGGTAACACCGAGCCCGCCTTGAATTGATCTGCCAAACGAGGCCCGCCTGGAGCCTCGCCTCCAGTACAGCGCGGGAGCACAGATGCATTGGCTGTCAGGAGTATTGTAGTTCTGCGCAGAGAGAACTAATGTTGGTCTTCGGTTTGAGGTCATTCCGGCATTTGTGGTTTTGTGTTTTGTTTCAAAGCTTCGTGGTGTATTATAGGTGCTACAAGGTTTAATTGGGTTTTAGAGGGGTTTCTTCCAGGGTTCTCGTTTTGGGGCTAGGGTTCAGGCATGCAGTCTAGGGCTAGGGTTTTATGTTCAGGGTTGAGCTTTAGGTTGTTTTGGGCTCTAGTGCCTGGCACGTCCTACTCGCAAGCTTCAGAACATTCATCACCCTTCCTCAAAGCTACAAGAGTTGACTTTGTTTGTTTCTGTTAATCTCTTGGGTTTAAGCCCTAGACCTTAAAACCTAAGTTGACATCTAGATTCTGGAACAGATTTGTACTAGCTTCGGAAACTTTGGGCCAAAGGCTTGTGATTGAAAGTTTGAGCGAGGGAAACCCTTAAACCACCGAAGCCCTGAAATGCGTAGCTCCTCAGCCTGAACCCTAAGCCCGAGCCGCAAACGCGAAAAGAGTGAAGCCACGGATACAGAATCCTAAAACCCTTTAACAGCCTTCACATTTCTCCAGCCCTAAAAGTAAAACCCACAGCAGAAGCCCGAAGCCCTGAAATGCTTGACCCCCAATAAAGCCCGGGTACCCCAAAGCCTCAGTTGCGGCAGGCCTCCCCCACAAGGAATCTTTGCGGCCCCTCCATTGCGGTCGCCTTGCAGGCACCAGTTTGAAGCCACGAGGGTCTTCAGTGCATCAGGGACGTAGGGTGCGTTTTTGGAGGCAGGGCTTGAGGTATTTGATCTCCGGCTTCAGGTTTTGGGGTTTGAGGTTTGAGGGTAGCACTGTAGTTTCTGTCATTGGTTATTCGCGTCTGTGCGGGTAATGGGGATGACGGATTTGCGGTTTGGGGTCTAGATCTAGTGCCATGTGTCCCGGTTTCGAAACACACGTGCAGACTTGCCTGGGTTCATGCGTCAGAGAGTCGGGTTAAGGGCTTGGGTTGTCCCTTTAGAGTTGTCGGATGTGTTGACCCGGCGTTAAGCTTTTGCATCGGGTTGTGAGCTTTGAGGACTCCTATATCTGGGAGTCCTGTTCGTCGGCTTTCTAAGCCCAGATTCGACACGTGACATCCGGGCTCCATACGAGCATCATCCAGTGACCAGTTCTGGCTTTTCAGGGTAGGCATGCCTGGGTCCCCTAGTCCCCTGAACTGCCCGTCTGACCGAGGTCTTGGGCGTAGAATCGAGGGTTTAGGTTCGATTCCAACCGAACGAATACGCTCCCCTGGACCCCACTCCTCCCCACCCCGTTTCATATCCAGGCCCCGCACCCGGTACAACGTGTTCTATCCATCGACATGTAAGAATTTAGATTTAAGAGTTGAAATTCACATGTACCTGAAAGCCACAAGCATTGGAGTGAAGGTTGTCCCAGCTTGTCCAGCTTGATATACTCATTGCACTCGGGTCTGTGAGGGTTGACTTTGGCCTTCCTCTGGCCCGGCATTTCAGCTATACATAAAACTTGTTGTTTAGTGTGTGTGTGTGTGTTTGTATGCATGTATGTATGTATGTTATGTTATGTTATGTATGTATGTATGTATGTATGTATGTACGTATGTATGTATTAACGTAATGTAAGAATGTATGTATGTATTTACGTAATATAAGAATGTATGTGTGCATGTATGTATGTATGTATGTATGTATGTATGTATGTATGTACGTATGTATGTATGCATGCATGCATGCATGGATGCATGCATGGATGGATTGATGGATGGATGGATGGATGGATGTGT